GGGGCGGCCCAGGCGCGCACGGCTGCACCCCGGCCCTTCCTGTTTCTGTTTTTATTTTTACTGAGTTTGACTCGGTGTCTCACCGAGTGGTCGACTCGCCCGCCCAAGCCGGGCTCGGCGTGCCACCCTCCTGCCTCCGCCTCTCGGAGTGCCGGGATTGCCGACAGGAACCGTCACGCCTGGCTTGCTGGATCATGTAATTCACCAAGACAGTGAATCAGACAAACAGTGGCAGAAAAAATGGTAGTAGAGAACATACTTCTTGCTGGTTTGTCAGGAAGTAAGGACATCGACAAGGAGCGTTGTCACAAACTGGGTGTGTGTGTGAGAGAGAGAAAACTTGAAATGCTCTGAAGTGCTTCCATTAAGAGATGAAAAAAAAAATCAGATCAGTTTTTCCCAAGTGTGACAGTTCTAAAGATTTACATGTCCTTTTTCAACCCATGATTTTTGAGCCTGAAAGAAACTTCATTAAACCTTTGAAAACCAGGGCTGGGATTTAGCTCAGTGGCCCTGCGCCTGCCTCACAAGTGCAAGTTCCTGAGTTCCATCCCTGGTACCAAAAAAGAAAAAAAAAACCTTTAAAAACGAATATTTGCTATCTGTGGCAGAAGAAAGATTGCATTGTCTTCCTCTTCTTGATATGGAAGATGATGTTACCAAATCAGCGGCTTGTGAAGAAGCAGTTTTCAGCCAAAAATGGAGGCGGAATATATTACACAGTACAGCCCCAATTTAAGGAGGCTGCTGTGAGACTGACATACCTTCAACCCAAAGTTACAATGCCAAGCCTAAAGCAAAGGCCAGAACCACTGTGTCTGTGAAAGTTCACAGCTCACCCTTTATGAGCCGGAATGTCTTCTCATTCTAAAGAAATCCTTGAGCTGGGTGTGGCAGTACACACCAGTAATCCTAGGACAGAGGGAGGCTGAGGCAGGACGATTGCAAGTTTAAATCCCATCTGGGCAATTTAGTGTGGCCCTGTATTAGAAAAGAAAGAACTCTGGTGTAGCTCAGGGGAAAAGCACCTGGGTTCAACCTTCAGTACTGCAAAAAAATAAAAATAAATAAATAAATAAAAGTGCGGTACTTGGCGGGAGCTTGGGTGAAACACACAGCCCTGGATCCCAGTGACACCAAAAAACAAATCACGTTTTCAAATCCGATCTTGTGTTTTTCTGAAGGAAGACCCCCCCTCAGCATTGTATGAGTTTTGGGTCCCATCAAATCTGTATGTGCCCCTGCCGGAAAGTGTTTCTGAGCCCGGAGAAAGAACAGCTCTTCCGGGACGGAGTAGGAGGGGTGTGGAGAGGTCAGACTGGCTGCAGGGCTGCCGGCTGTGTTCTGGGTGTGAGCTGACGCCGCCTGGGGAGCTGCGTCCTCAGCCTGCCCCGCTCTCCCCTGCCAGGTCTTCTCGTGGGCACCCTGGACGTGGTGCTGGACTCCAGCGCTCGCGTGGCCCCCTACCGCATCCTTCACCAGACCCAGGACTCGCAGGTCTACTGGACGGTGGCGTGCGGTAGGTGCCCTGAGTCACCTAGGGGCTGGGGGACCCCAGTACTCCTCAGGCAGCGGGGCGGGCAGGCGGGACCCCCAAGCCCCTCTGGCCCTTCGCTGGTGTGCACGTCGCCCCCCAGGTGGAAGCGTTTGGGCTTCTCCATTTCAAATTCGTCCACCCCTCCTGCTGACATTTCCTTGTGACCTGTGACTCATTTGGCGTCCTGCCCTCCCTAGCTTTGTATGTGAGCGGGAGGAGCTCAGCCCCCGAACCTCTGTGTTTCAGGTCAAGAACAGTTGTCTGCCCCGTGGCCCATTTAGCCATGAGTTCTTTTATCTTTGTGTTTTTTGATGACGGCTTCTCTAAAGAAAACGGTCCCCAGGCAGAGCGCTGAAGCACTGTTGCCTACGCCTGGGCACAAGGAGACTGGTGCGCCTTCTGGAGAGATTGTGCATTAGGGAAGCTGTGCTCAGGTGAGCGGTGCTGCCGCCTGAGTAGGCTCAGTGCTGATGAAGCAGTGCTGGATATTAAATAAACCATCTTTAAACAGGCACAGCGCGCTGAGAAGCTGAGGCAGGATAGTCACAAGTTGGAGCTCAGCTTTGACCATCGAGCACTTGGGAGGCTGAGGCAGGAGTATCGTCACCATGAGTTTGAGGCCAGCCTGAGCTACATAGGGAGACCCTGCCTCAAACAAATAAACAAAAAAACCCAAAGACCTTATCTCAAAACAAAATATTATAAAAGGGGTCCGGGATATAGCCCCAGTTTGAGTATCCTGGGTTTAACCGTCAGTTCCATAAAACAGAAATAGACACACAGCGAAGTGACCATTTGATGAAAACACTGCGATGGGAGGATGTGGGAGCCCCATCCTGTGAGTGTGTCTGCTGGGGGAATAGTCCTGGTCCTCCCCCAGGAGTGTCACAGGACTTCAGGAGCCCACACGGTTATGCTGGGGGAGCAGAGCCTGTCCCCTCACCGGTGGGAACAGGTTCCCCCTTTCGGGAGCACTGATAGCACAGCCATCACTCACAACAGCGGGCTCCATGCCAAGCACCTCCTGAGCCTCCAGTGAGGCCCTTGGGTCCTCTTTGCTTTGAAGATGAGGGGAACCCGCCAAAGTCTCACAGTGCGGCAGGCCTCTGAGCCTGTCCTCCGTAACCTCCAGCCCGGCCAGGGAGGATGAGGAGAGAGGTCTGAGAGCTTCAGGAGGCAGGAGGGGCAGGGTAGAAGCTCCACGCCGGCACCCACGCTGAATGACCACCTCCCTCTGTGTGTGGATGGATAGGTGAGGCCTCGTGGAGCCGTCCAGTAGAACCAGCCAGGAGGGCACCTGCAGGAGCCGAGGTTCCGAGAGCTGCTGTATGCCTTTCCTTTATTTATTTACTTATTTTGTAAGCTAGTAGTGTTTGAACCCAGGGCCTTTGGGTTGAGCTCAATCCCATCCTGGCCCTTTGTATTTTTTCTTTTGAGACAGGGTCTCACTAAACCCTTAAATTGCCCAGGCTGGTCTGGATTGTATAATTCTGCCTCCACCTCCCAGAGCACCATGGTCACAGGTGTGCCACACCATGCCCAGCTGAGTCGGGGACTTTTAACACAGGTCCTGTGGACAGTCAACTGTCTGTGTCTCGTTCTTTCCCGGGGAGCAGATGGGAGGAGACCAGGACTGGCCCCAGGGAGGGGCAAGTGTCCAACGTAGGCTGGGTCCCTTTGGTAGCTGGTGCTGGGGACAGGCTCCTACTGCAGACCCCACCTGGCCCCCCAGACCGCAGCCCAACTTGTCCTCTGCCTGCGCCCCCTTCCCAGACATCTGAGCTGGGCCTCAGAAGAAGCCCCCAAAATCAGCCCTGCCAACCCTTGCCCGGTCAGCAAGTGCAGCGCCTTAGCTGGCATTTAGGGTGTCCAGGGACCGTGACTACACTGTCAGCCTCCTGTGTCCAGCTCACACCTGGCTGCAGACAGGCTGTGCTGCAGGATCTGGGTTCCCTGCCCTGCCTGTGCGCTCCTCTGTGCCTAACACGTTTCCCCTGTGCTTGTACTATTAGGCCAGAAACTCCCAAGGGCAAGGCCAGGTTCCGCGTCCAGGCAGGGGCTCTGGTGTGGTCACGCTGTGCTGTGTGACCCTGGGTGACTGACTGAAACTCCATCTCAGCCTCATCCTATAGAGTGGAAAAGTGGCACCTGTCTCCAAAGGTTAAAATAATCTCCAGAAACCTGTGAAACAAGAGTGGCCCATAAATGATCTAATATTTATTTCCACTACCTCACAGATGGCATAGGCTGGGCATTTTCTTAGTACCAAATGAAGATTAAGTTACCTTTAATAATAATTTTATAGATGCACGATTGTAAACATTTAATTTTTTACTTAAGCATTTATAATTAAAAGGCAACAGGGCCATGGATTTACCTCAGCGGTTCCACCGCCTGCCTTGCAAGCACAAGATCCGGAGTTCAAACCCCAGTACCAAAAAAAATGTTTAAAAAGCTACAGACCCAAACAGGTAGCATAGACAAGGTGTCTTCTGTTTTAGATTGACAGGAAAGTGTGTGCAAAAGAAAATATCATGATAGAGTTCAATCTTGTGTGTGTATTTAACTTCTGAATTCAGCTTGTGACTTCTTGGTAAAAAGACAGAGAGAGAAGTTCTTCCTCTATCAACTAGAGCTTGGCTTCTATGCAGCAGGGTAATAAAGCCATTTTAAAAAGTTGAAAAAGAAAAAAAAAAAAGATGTAAAAAGGTCCGGGGATTTAGCTCAGCAGTTCTGCCGCCTGCCTCTCAAGTGCACAGACCGAGTTCAATCCCCGGTACCACAAAAAAGTTGAAAAAGCAAAATAAATTGATGATAAAGGACCTACAGGGAAAAATTTTCCTCGGTGCCAGATCAAACTACCTCTCCCATGAGCTATATCCCCAGTCCTTTTTAGTCTTTATTTTGAGACAGGGTCTCACTAAATGGCCCAGGTGGGACGCCAGCTTGTGATCTGCCAGAGTGCTGGAATCACAGGTGTGTATCCCTTGCCTGGCTTCCTGTTGTGACTCACTGTAAGTTGTGTAATGATGGGGCAGGCGTTTTCACCCGGGCATTCTCCCTCAGGCCTTTTGGGGGATCTGTACACGTGGAATTGCTTCTTGGGTTGGTGACCCGCTGGAGCACATAATAAGACACACACGGCCCTAACCAAGATAGGCCAGGCTGTGACCCTGTGACCGCACGACCAGCAGGTGCCATGGGCTGGCAGAGGCAGCAAGGCCAAGACCAGCCGTGGTGGGGTTAGTGTAATACACTCAGCTGGCACAAGCTTGTCGCCAGTGGGGAAGCACCAGGAGGCTGGAGGTTTGGGTGTAGACAGTGCAGTGGCGGATATGCACGAGGCCTGTTTCCGGCCTGCACTAGTTCATTCTTACCATGTGTGCTCCTTGGCTAAGGCTCCCTGCACACCAAGTGCATGGGCCTCCATGTGCCACAGACCACCCAGGACAGTTGAGAAGGGTGGGGGCTGTTCACTCCTCTGTCCTTCAGAAGTCAGCTCTTGATGGTAAATTCCATGGCAGGTACCCAGAATGTGTGGTATCCAGGGGAGGCGGGCAGGACAGGCAGAAAGCTTCATTTCCTTTGCTTCCCTCCCAGTCCTTGTTGGGTGTGAAAAATCCTCCCCCTCTGGGGAGTGGCAGTGTGCTGCCCTCTCAAAGTTTCTCCATCTGTGGGCCTGGAGGACCCTCTAAGGCCCAGCCCTTGGGACAGAGACCCCTCTGAGATAGGCGGACATGAGGGGAAAAGCTCAGCAGGAGAAGCCGAGGAGAGGGTGGTGGCTGCCCAGGCCACTGGTGTCCTGTGGGAGGTTCAGCTGGCACCCATGGGTACCCAGTTTCCAGGAGAGAGCCGGAGCCCCCTCTGCAGAGTCTGACGGAGCTTGATTGTCACCTCCATGGCGAGGAGCACACGAGTTCTGCCCGGGAGCAAAGCCTTGACTGGTGAGCTGGCTGCAGACGTGCAGACCGCCCCGGTTGGAGGACACTTGCTCCTGGCATCGGGGAGGAGTGAGGCCTTGTGTCCCTCACAGCGCTGAGACTCTGCCTCACTTTTCAGTCCTGTGTGCTTTACCCGGACTGCTTATATTACCTTTGTTATGTACATGTGAAGTTCTTGGGTTTGGGGGTTTTTTTGTGGGGGGTAATGGGGATCGTACTCAAGACTTTGTGCTTGCAAGGCAGGCACAGTGCCACTGATCTGCATCCCGGCCCTGTACATATAAAGTTTAAGGAAGAGAGTAGCCAGGCACAGTGGCACACACCTATATCCCAGCTTGTTGGGTGGCTGAGGAAAGAGGATTTGAGTTTCAGGCCAGCCTAAGCAGTTCACCAACACCATGCCTCAAACCTAAAGCAGAAGGAGGAGCTGGAGGAGACTGCTAAATAGTTAAAGGATCGTGGTTACTTGAATACAGCAAGATAGGGCAACCATTTTAATTGCTTCTTTGAGTTTGTGTGTAAGTCTTGGTTTCATGAGTTTCCTTTGTTTCACCAAACCCTGATAGGTTCTTCCCGTAAAGAGATCACAAAGCACTGGGAATGGCTGGAAAATAACTTGCTGCAGACGCTGTCCATCTTTGACAATGAAGAAGATATCACCACCTTTGTCAAGGGCAAGATCCACGTAAGGTTCCCTCTGCAGACTGGTGCCTCTACCAGCCACCATATTTGGGGGAAAACTGCATGCCTGCTGAACGGCACAGACTGCTCTTCTTGTCATGATTCTCTAGACCATAGTGTGATGGCTGATTCTGCAGCCTTTGCATTACAGTGTCACGAGCCAGCTCAAGATGATTCAGAGCAGGGCAGGTGTTTATCAGTCACGCGCAGACGATACACCATTCGTGTAGGACTTGCTACCTGGGGAGTTCAGTATCTGAGGGGACCCTAGACCCCATGCCTCTGGCCCCTCTTCAGACAACACGGTGCAGGTCTCATTCCCATTCTGTAGAGATGACATTCGAAGTGGCAGCCTGTTCTTACAAAACTGGAACAGATGGTTGAGCTGATTCCCTTTGTTGTGGCTGGATCTGGACCATACCCAGGCCCTGTGTCGGAGGCTCAGGCCCCAGCCCTGGGCCCTGTGGGACGTGGGGGCCTTTAGGAGCTGGGGCTGTTGGCAGGAAGTGAGGTGGTGTTGTCTTCCTCGTGGGGACCACAGGGCCAGGCCCCAGTGTTCCCCCTCTCTTAGCTTTTCAACTGCTGTGATGTGAAGAGGCCTCTTCCACCACGCGTTCCCCACCATGAAAGGCAACACCACCGCGGCCCAGAGGGTACAAACCAGACTCATCCCTTCTTCCCTACGGGCTGAGGACCTCCGGTGCCCCTCACAGGAAGCGGACCGATGTGTGACCCCTGTGAGGAGCGCTGCTCCCTTTCCTTCCCCAGCTTCGAGAGGCCACACGTTCGCTGGTTCCTGGCCCTATTGGTCACCTTTTTTTTTTTTTCTTCTCCAGTCCTGGGACTTGGACCCAGGGCCTTCACACTGAACTAAATTCCCAGCCCTTTTTCACTTGAGACAGAATTTGACCAAGTCACTAAACTCCCCAGGCTGGGCTTGAACCTGCAGTCCTCCTGCCTCATCCTCCCAGAGTGCTGCATTGCAGGCCTGCAGTAGCACACCGGCTCTGTCCTTCACTCGCCTTCACTGCCTGCGACCTAATACCTTCACGCTGACCCACTGCTGCCTCCCGTGCCCTTTCTTCCAGCTCATCTCCCTACGACTCTGACCCTCTTGCCTCCTCTTTGTCAGGGTGACGGTGATCATACTGGGTTCACCCAAACGATGCAGACCCCTCTCCCTCAGAATCCTCAGTCACATCTGCAGAATCCCTGTGCTGTACCCGGTGACATAGTCCAGCGTGCTGAGGTTAGGACGTGGGCGTTTGGCCCACCACGTAAGGTGACGTTTAAGTGCAAGTCAGGGAAGAAATAGACAACCTGAAGAAGCTTCAAACTTTGAGGTTTTGCATTTTGGTGTTTTGAGATAGGGTCTCACTAAGTAGTCCAGGCTGGCCTCGAACTGGAAGGCAAACCTGCTTCAGCCTCCTGAGTGCTGGGATTACAGGCATCTAACCCCATACCCAGTTTAAAACTATCAAAGGAACTGTCAGCAATTTAGCATCCTGCCAGTGGTAGTTTTACAGTTGGTTTCCATCTACAACACACAGAGTTCCAACCTCACAATCCATACTAGTTATGAGAAGGTCAAAAATAGGGTGAATGTGGCCAGGTGTGGTGGTGCATACCTATAATCCCAGCACACTGGGAGGCTGAGACAGGAGGATCACAGGTTCAGGCTCACCGTGGGCAACTAAGTGACTTATCAAGATTTGGTCTCAAAATAAAAAATAAGTCAAAGACCTGAGTTTCACTAAGTACAATGTTTAAATTTTTTTAAAAAATTTTTATTACAGGGCCAGGGATCTAGCTCAGTGGTTCTGCTGCCTGCCTTGCAAGTACAAGGTCCCCAGTACTGGGGTTCGATCCCCAGTATCAAAAAGCAATTTTTTTTAATTATAGTAAAAGGTGTGTTAGTCCCTTCTCAAAATACCCAAGAAGGTTTGTTTGGGTCCAATCTGGGACCGTGGTGAGGTAGCACAACACGAGAGATAGGGCAAAGCAGGGCTGCTCTGCTGTCAACCAGGAGCAAGAGGGACAGGGTGCGGCTGGGCCTCAGGGACACGTGGCAGAGGGAGTAGCTGGTTCCCGGCCTCCAGTGAGACGGAACTGGGGAGACAGACATGAAGGCAGAGCCTCCTCCAGGTGCAGGCCCCGGGGAGGCAGCGCAGAAGCTCAGAGACAGCTGTTGGACTGAGCTGCAGCTTCACCGGTGTAAAGAAGTAAAATACTCTGTTCCTCCTACTCTTAGGTTCTTGACTGAGGTCTGTGCCAAAAGGCAGATTTGACATAATAAAAACACTCAGAGCTTTGAACACGTACACAGCTCATCAGTACAAGGGGGACTCGGAGGAGCACCAGGGTAGTCGGCTGGAGCTGGGCTTTTTGTGGCACCCACTCGCGGGAGCCAGATGTGGGAAGAGAAGAGAGAGGAAACTGGGAAGGTCCATCCCGTGGCCTTCTTCACTGATAACCTCCGTGTCCCCTCAGGCCCAGAGCCTGCCCAGAACCCCAAGATAACGGTATGCGGTATTTTTAGCATACACTCATTGCAGACGGTCGGGTGTGGAGTTTCCCACTTGAAGAACCACGTCAGCACTCAGAAAGCCTTGGATTCAGAAACATTTCAGTTTGTAGAGTTTTAGAAGAAGGACGCTCCTTCTATACTTGCGTTTTTGTTTTTTTTTAACCATTGTAAAGTTGTTCCATCAGTTTTATATTAAACTGAAATGGGTTTATCTAAAAAGTCACCTCAGGGCCAGGGAGGTAGCTCAGTGGTGCTGTGCCTGCCTCTGAAGCACAAGGTCATTTCAATCCCCAGTACCGGAAAAAAAAAAAGGTCACCTCAGAGTCAGGGATCACAAGAGTCCAGGAAGTTGCCCAGAGTCGCCGAGGCAGTTCGTCGCCCGTGTGCCAGAGTCAGCACTTCCTTTTGCCCATGCTGGTGGCCCTAAGCCAGAGTCCCAGACTCTTGGCCTCCCTGGGCTGCTCTGCCCCTCCTCTGACCTCCCAGAACTGCCCCGGGGAGCTCAGACGCCACTGTCTCCCTGCAGGGCATCATTGCAGAAGAGAACAAGAATCTGCAGCCCCAGGGAGATGAGGACCCTGGGAAGTTCAAGGAGGCTGAGCTGAAGATGCGGAAGCAGTTTGGGATGCCAGAGGGCGAGAAGTTGGTCAACTACTACTCCTGCAGCTACTGGAAGGGCCGCGTGCCCCGGCAGGGCTGGCTCTACCTGACCGTCAACCACCTGTGCTTCTACTCCTTCCTGCTGGGGAAGGAAGGTGAGCCCCAGCCAAGGCCCGTGGAGCCCTGGCTGACAGCCCCTTCTGCGTCCGGGCTCAGATGTCTTCCTCTGGCCCTGCTGACCTCGTGATACTCTGTGCCATCATGCCCTGGCTCCCCTGACCGCACTTCTAGAAAGTCCACGGCTGCCAGCATTCCTGGCCCCAAATGCCCATCCACACAGCAGTCAGCAGGGACTCCCTGAAACCCAGCCGCCGCTTTAGCAGCCTGTGGCAGTTACAACTGGACAGCCAGGTACACACCTGCTCCTGTCCACAGCCCCCTGCGGGGCTCCACACTCACCTGCCGTGGGCCCTTCCTTGTAGAGTGCGAGCTGCATGCTCCCCCCACCCCAAATCAGCTCCCTCTACTGCCTCCGTCACCCAGAAAGTGCGCCTGCACCTCTAACTGTTCCCAAGTGCGGAGCCATCGCCCTTCCCGCGTCTCCATCACAGCGTCCCCTGCTGTCCTCCTGCCCTCACTGAGCATGGCTGACCTGAGTGGCACTGTCCAGGCCGCTCCTCACAACCCCGTGTCAGCACGGCCACACAGCCATCAGGTGTGGCTCCCTGTAGGGTGTGTTCCGAGTCTGGAGCCTCGCCTTGCCCGGTTGTAATTGGTGGCACATCTGTCCCTCCTGGGTTCCAGTGAGCCTTGTGGTGCAGTGGGTGGATGTCACGCGCCTAGAGAAGAATGCCACGCTGCTCTTCCCCGAGAGCATCCGTGTGGACACCCGGGACGAGGAGATCTTCTTCTCCATGTTCCTCAACATCAGCGAGACCTTCAAGCTCATGGAGCAGCTGGCCAACCTGGCCATGCGACAGCTGCTGGACAGTGAGGACTTCCTGGAGGACAAGGCTCTGCCCAGGCCTGTCCGGCCGCACCGGAACATCTCAGCTCTGAAGCGGTGCGTGGCCCTCCCAGGGTGGGGAAGCACACAGCACATGACGGTGGGCCTGCCTAAGCAGTTGAGTGACCTGCCGGGGCCTGGCGCATAGCCGGCTGTGCAGGCCAGAGAGGCCTCTGCACTCAGGTTCCCGCTTTGGAAGGAGGCCAGTCATACAGGGCAGCGTCACCCTGGCAGCCAGGGGTTCACCTAGAAATGTCAGCAGCAGCTTGCATGGCCTGCTGATGTGGCACAAGCTCCTCACGCTGTGTTTCTCATGGCCTTGGGGCAGGAAGGTGCTCTTGGCACCCTGGTCTCAGACCAGGACATTGAGCCTTGCAGAGCTGTTGAGTGGTGACCCAAGGTGAGCTGCCTCTGTCAGGGTCCTCTGAGGTCCTGGGAGGCTGCGTCCGGACGGCTTCAGTGAACGACAGCTCAGGGTGCTCAGCCTCTGCCCCGCCGTGGTAGACAGCTCCTCGAGACCCTGGGCCTGAGGGCCCGAATGGTTGTGAGCGCCCCCTCAGGTCGGAAGTCACTGCTGCCCTGGCTGGGGGGCTGGTGGAGAAGTAGTTTTGGTGGCTGGCTACTCCAGATCACTGGCTTGCTCTCAAGGGTGCAGGTTCACAGGAAACCCCACCAGGCTGGCCAAGGACTTAGCCAGGGTAGGCACAGCTGGATCCACACCCCAGCGGGGCTGTCTCCTGGGTTGTACCCACAGATCGTGCTGTGGCTCCGTGGTGCACCTGCAGGAACAGAATGCTGTGTGAGGGCCTCGCTCCTGGTGCAGGTGATGGGATGGCTTCCAAGACCTTTGGAGAGAAAACAAGCAGGGCTGGCACTTGGCAATTCCAGCACCGTCAGTTGGGGTGCATGTTCAGGCCCTGGCGAGGCCAAGGCAGTGCAGGGCAGGCGGGAGGTTCCCCTAGGACGGGGATACAGGCCTTCTGGAGACCGAGTGCCAAAGGGCAACCCAAAACCCACTTATTTATCGTAGGGTACCAACACTGCAAATAAACTTGAATACTGAGGTTTTCACTGAGAAAAAACAACTCTACATTAACATCTTTTGTTTTAAAAGAAAAACACAATGACACTCGTGCCCTCGGAAGGCATGTTTATGTGGACAGACCTGAGACGGGGTGAGGGCAGGAGGCCAGGCCACTCCCACAGCCATCACACATACAGATGACCACAACCACTCTTCCCATTGGGAGCTCTTGTCTGGGTTCCAGGCTGGGATCAGCTCTTCCCAGCATGAAGCAGCAGAGTCAGGGCCAGTGACGTGCAGGGTCTGAGCTGTGCAGGGTTCGGGAGCAGGGAGCGCTGGGCATGGCCAACTCTTCAGTGCCAGGGGACATCGTGGCTGTGTCCCTTCAGTCAGGTCTTGAGGCATGGTGCATGCAGCCACTTCTCTGCTGGTCCTGTGCATGTCCCACATCTTGCTGAGTCATTTAACATGCATCTTCCATTGAACTCAAATCCCTGGCACAGCCTGCTTGCTGGAGGCCCCCAGGTCCTGACACCATTGTGGAAACTGAGGCTTCCTTGAGGGCTTGCTGGCTCCAACTTGTGACCCTTTCCCACCTTCCTTCCTCAGAGACTTGGACGCCCGAGCCAAGAATGAGTGCTACCGAGCCATGTTCCGGCTGCCCAGGGACGAGCGTCTGGACGGTCACACGGCCTGTACCCTGTGGACGCCATTCAACAAGCTGCACAACCCTGGCCAGATGTTCATCTCCAATAACTATATCTGCTTTGCCAGCAAGGAAGAAGATGCATGCCACCTCATCATCCCTCTGCGGGAGGTGAGGTGCGCTGGTGAGGGCCTCGCTGAGCCCCGCTGGGGCCAGGCAAGGTCAGGGGCCAGGTCCAGGGCTCCTGATTTCCCTCCCTTGTGTGCCTCATGGCCCTGGTCAATGGGGCCTTTCAGCCCTTTGCACATCTGGGAGCAGGAGCTGCTCTGGCTCCAAGCTCAGCCTCCTCCAGCACTGTCCCTTCCTCTCCATGCCCACAACCAGGACACTGGTGTCTGCTTGGGCCATCAGGAAGGTGCACACTTTGTGACACATCCTCCCGCAGCACCCAGAGAGTCTGCAGCCTCAGTCAGGGCAGTGAAGCTCTGCCTAGGACCCTCCAGCAGGGAACAGGCCCCAGCTGCCTCCTGGGGCCCGAGACCTCTATCACGTACACCTCAGGTGTGGCCTTGCACACAGCTACTGCACACGCATGTGCTTGGACATCACATGCTTTCACACCCATAAATACTGTGCACTCATACATAGCCCACACGTGCACACAACACACATCCAGCTCCATCTGTCCTGGCTTGTACAGTCTCTGCCCTGCTTGGCCATGCTTCTCTGCACATGATGGTTCTGTGCCCCTGGCCAGTCAGCGCCCCTCGCACCTGTGCGTCTCCAGCCACGCCTCAGTGGAGCTCAGCTGCCCGTAAGTGCTCCCCCAGGACCAGTGCTTGGGGCAGCCCTGCAGTGAGGGCTGCTTTCTGCTTTCCAGGGGAAGAGTAAGTGGCCGTCCTTGAGAAGCCAGCAGGGGCCAACTCTCGGCCAAGCATCTTACATCCCTTCCTCTCAGTAGCCGGCAAGGCCAGCATGCTCACTGTCAGCGAAGAGACCCCAAGTCCCTTGTGCAGGGTCACACCACGCAGCACCCTGGGCCGCTGTGGCCCTCTCACAGTCCCAAAGTCCACCCAGCTTTGTGCCCCCAGATGCAGATGCCCAAGACTGTTTTGCCTTCCCAGGTGACCATTGTGGAAAAAGCTGACAGCTCCAGCGTCCTGCCCAGCCCTCTGTCCATCAGCACCAAGAGTAAAATGACCTTCCTGTTTGCCAACCTGAAAGACCGTGACTTCCTGGTCCAGAGGATCTCGGACTTCCTCCAAAAGATGCCATCTAAGCCACAGGGCAGCAGCCTCACCTTGCAGGGAAGGAGAGCCAGCACTGTGGACCCAGCCCAGAAGGTGAGGGCGTGCCAAGAGGGAGCAAGCCGGGGAGGGTCCAGGCCAGGGCTGGGGCAGCCAGCACCTCACTGTGCCGCACAGGGCCGGGCTGCGCGGAGGTTGAGTCGCTGGAGCTGGAAAGACAGCTGTGTATGGGCCAGAGCTGAGCTCGGTCCTGCCTCTGGGGTGCTAGCCACACGCACCCCTGCCAGGCAGTGTCCCTCCTCTGTGCCTCACCTGCACTTGCCTGGCCGTCTCAGAAGGGACCTCTGGCTAGACCAGCTGTCTCCAGCTGTCCCTGAGGACCTTCCCCAGTGTGGAGAGCAAGGCTGGGTGACTCGTGGCCTCTGTTTCACTAGTCTTTTGGTTGGAGCTTCTTACCCAGAGACTTTTTTCTTTCAGTGCTAGGGCTGTTGCTCAGGGACTTGAGGACACCAGGCGTGCCATTCTTCCACTGAACTATAGCCCCAGCCAAGACTCCTTTCAGATGTAACTGTAGCATCATGATATGCCCAGCAGATTTTTTTTTCTGGTACCAGGGATCGAACTCAGAACCTTGCACTTACCAGGCAGGCATAGTACCCCTGAGCCAAATCCCTGGCCCTCCCAAAAGATTTAATAATCATTCCTCAGTATCAGCTGTACCTCAGTAACCATGGGAGACTGGCCCCAGGACCCCTGGTACCTCAAGTCCCTTTGTAAGTGGCCCAGTACAGTCACAGATCTGCACCTCCTCCTGCACAGTCTGACTTCTCTAGATGCCTGGTAGCATCTAACACAATGCAAATGCTGTGTAAATAGTTGTACTCTGTTGTTCAGGGAGGAGTGACAAGAAGAAGTCTGTATGTGTTCCTCACAGATAGCTTTTTCTCCTGCATATCTTCCACATGCATTTGGTTGTTTGCACAGACACAGAAACCATGGTGCAGAGGGCTGACTGTATTTAAGATGCAATTGCACTTTATACAGCTGAATAGATTGGCCCCAGTGCTAGGTTTATAACTGTGGGCCCCACGTTGGGCTCCCGCAGATGTAAGCCTGCCAGCTTCTGAGGGGCAGAACAAACTCGACAGCCAAGAAATGATGAAAGAAACTTCAGCATGATGACTGGCAGGAGCATCCAGCATATTTCAGTATGGGGCTAGGTAAAGGTGATAGTGCATAAGTTACATAGGCTCTGACGATGGAGACACAGCATTATGAAAATATGAGACAAGAAGGTGTAGGGGGACGTGGCCCATGCCTGTAATGCCAGCACTCAGGAGGCTGAGGCAGGAGGACTGTTGTAAGTGCAAGGCCAGCTTGGGCTGTGTAGTGAGTTCATGGTCAGCCTGAACTGCAATAGCAGGTCATCTCAAAACAAACCAACAAACAAAAACAGTATATGGAAAATAGAATGAGCTCGATTGCTTTATTAACTAAACAAAAGTATATCCTTTACATCAGGTATTGGCAGGAAAGGGGAATGAAGGACTACTGGCTATTTCCATATTGTTTATAGTAGGGAACTAGTATTATCTTAAAAAGAGGGGACTAAGGATCTATGTAAAGATATTAATGTAGAGGGCTGGAGATTTAGCTCAGTGGTTCCACCACCTGCCTTGAAAGTGCAAGGTCCCGAATTCAATCCTGGTACCAAAAAAACAAATT